ACTGCTGCCTGTTTTTTTTAGCAATAATTGAATATGATGTTAACATATAAAGCATGTGATATGGTTCCAGGATCAGAGCTAGTCTATATTTGAATGGCCTGAAGGTGTGCTAACACTCAAGGAAGCTAAAGCTGCAATCTAGGAAAGGCCGTTCTTGGCCCTCCTAAGTACTTGGGAAAATAGACCACCTGTGAACCATATGCAAAACCACCCTGATCGCCATATAGAAGAAAGTATGAAATAGGCCTGTATAAGTCATTTGGTGGGATTTCAAAGCATTGGAAAGTTGTGGGAGTATTTGGAACATCTGCTTCATTGACCAGATCTGGAGGAATGCTCAGAGCCCTGTAAAATAACTTGCCTAGCTTTAGTACAAATGCTAGGACTGCATGGTACTTTGGATTCTGTTCCAAACAAAGTACTGAAGAGAATAAAAGACTGTAAATATAGTACCCACCTATAACTCTTTAAAGAAGATATTTCATGAATCCAGGAAAAAGCTGCCGCTGCTTTAAAAAGTATCAAGTAGATGCTGTGGGCTTTACATTCCTATATATTCAAAAACAGTGCATAGCCCTAACAAACATTATTATTTAATGAGTTTAAGTTGTTGCCACTGCTTTGAAGTTAAATTCAGGTGTATGGATGCCTCTTTCTTTTCTGTGTAATTTATACCTCTATCTTGACTGGGAATGCTGACATTATCTTGGCCATTCCCACCTGGTCACATGGCCGGCAAGACACTCCCACAAAGTAGGCCACACCCACAGAGTAGGTTCCAAAATTTTTTGAAACCCACCACTGCTATAAGTGTACTAAAAAAAGTACTTCATACATTTCAACGCCCCCCCCCCCCATTGTTTTCTTCTGTTTCAAATTTTCTGGAGATTTTGACTCAGTTTTTTTCTCTTTTGCATGCCCCTAAATATTGATCAAGTCTTCTCTGGAAAGTTGTAGAATATATCTTTAATTATTTTGGGTATTGAATTGGAATGTTAATATATCCTGAAGTATACAGAGAATAAAAATTCTGATATTTAAATACTTGATACAGAACAAAATCTGATAAGGTAGACCTGTATGATTACTCTTTTTTTTAAAAAAAACGTAAACTATATAACAGTAGGTACCTTCTAAATGCTGCAGTACTTTCCAGAAAGTAGGTACTATTACAGAGAAAGTCTATCTGAAGTTGTGACAGAAATCACATGAAATCACAGAAAACTCTAAACACATTTACCAATCCGAGCTGGTAATACATGTTTACATAGCCGTAGATGTCACTTTAACCTCCAGTAAGATCAATCTTTGAACATTTCAGACAATATCCTTGTTCTATAGAAGGTATATGGTGCCAACTCGAATAAGTATATATCACATGCTGGCTGGGAAATTCTGGAAGCTGAAGTCCACACAGTTGATGAGATTAGAAATACTGTGTATGCACTATATATTTTGTACTTATTTAGGCATGCATCTGATTGATATATTCAACTTCTACATGGGGCTGCCCTTGAAGAGTATCTGGAAGCTGCAGTTGGTACAAAATGCAGCAGCGCGCATGATTTTGTGCACATGTATCATCTCCTGTGGGAGCCACATTGGTTGCCTATTTGCTTCCGGGTGCAATTCAAGGTGCTGGTTGTCACCTTTAAAGCCCTTAATGGCTTGGGACCAGGTGATCCGAGGGACTGTCTCTTGCTGGTCACATATAATCAACCTGTCAGAGCCATTACATATCTGCAAATAAATCTATTTTAGCCTGCCCCTTTTAATTATCTGTATTATATTAGTGTAGAGTTTGGCTTTCAAAACAAAACATTCTGATTTTTCCAGGAGCCAATGAAGTCAAGAGCACCACAACTGCACTTGGAATACAGATTCTACAAGCAGCTAGGGTCTGGAGGTAAAGTATAATTTATAGTGGAATATAAATTATTATTGAAACAAACCTGTACACTAGTACTGGTTTATGCCACTGACTGTCAGAAATATGAGAAAGTTTTCTTGACTAGTCCTCTCAGACCCTGTAAATCTGATAAGGCAGTCAGGCTAGCTTTTGTCCTTTCCTTGACAGGCAAGATTTGATCAGTTCTTACTCAGCCTTTTATCCTTAAGTCAACTTGCAGCTAAAAGTTAAATAACTTGGTTAATTAATTATTTCTAATTGTTTTGCTTTAAATATATTTTAATTATTTCAATAATGTAACATTGTTTTTATTAATATTTTACTATGTAGTTATCTGTAGTAAATTGGGAACTTGTCATTTAGATTATGAAAGCTTATTAACTATAATATTTTTGCTTTACTAGACAGTGAAACATTTAATGATATGTATTATTGATACATAGCAAATTACACATTTCACTGCAGTGACATTTAGCATTTGCCTGATAAGTTATTCACAGGTAAAACCAACCATCAAAGTACCTTTGTCTTCATAATTCATCCTTTTCAAACTGCCTTGTAATTGAAAAAGGAGTTAGTGCTTTAATCATATGTGGCTATAGGTTTGACACTACATACACACAGTGAATGTTTAATTTTAAAATAAGGTTTGATAAGGTATCATCTATTTAAATAAGATGCTCTATTTCTCATGGATAGAGCTAGTTAAAAATTTACAAGCATTTTATACACATTTACCATGACTAGCATTATAAAAGTCATCATTGTGGGATAAGATTTTATAACAACAAATTTATAATAAACGAAGATTTCACTGATTTTTAAAATTGACCAGTTTGTTATTTTAGATACTAATGAAAGGTGGAAATATTTTGATTTGGAGATGCTTACAAATTAACATAGTTTGAGATCCTCGAAGCTTTTAAATTAAGTATATGAGGCTTGCCGCAAAAAGCATTAGCTATTTCCTTCATTTTTTTAAAAGCAGTTTCATTAATTTTTTTATCTATAATGAAAAGGGAATTTGATACAATGAAATTTGAGGAGATATAATGATTTTTAGGAGTAATAATAACCTAAGGTTATGCTTTTGTACAGATTTTTTTCTAGATTTATTATTTGATTTGCTTATGAATCATGTTGCCCAAAATCTAAGAGAACCGAAATTATAACAAAAGAATTACTAATGTGAAATTGGTAACTTGTATAGTTAACCCCTTTAACATATTTTTGTACTGAATATTATGTTCTTCCATATATTTAAGCTTTTCACTTGATACTGTTTCTATGAAAATTGTTAAATAACAGACTGAGACTGAACTGTTGTGAAATTTCATGAAGGATGTTGTTGCCTGATGTGTTTTTCATTTAATGGTTACAATAAGCAAGATAAAATTTCATTTGCAAATATAGCTAAGATAAAGAAAAGCCTGTTTAGGAACTGAATGCAACTAAATGTGATGAATACCATTTGTTTTCACTTTTTAGATGGAATACCTCAGGTTTATTATTTTGGCCCTTGTGGCAAATACAATGCCATGGTGCTGGAACTACTGGGACCTAGTTTGGAAGATTTATTTGATTTGTGTGATAGGACTTTTTCCCTAAAAACTGTACTTATGATAGCCATACAACTGGTGAGTATAGCTTCTCTATAAATTATCTTTTGTGCCTTACACTTAAATAATATAAAAATATCAAGAGTGCACAAAAAGTGTATCATTATTGGGTTCCTGATGTTTTTTGAGCTTTCTTCTTTTCCTGCTGATGTTTCATTGCCAGTCCAGGTAACATCAGTGAATGGGAGAGTGGAGTTTGCTAACTGTTTATAAGTGGTAGGTTATGTTATCTGCTTTGATTTGGATATTGCTTTTCCTTGATTGATGTTGGTGCTTTATTATTTTAAACTATGGAGACATATTTGACTTTGAGGTTACTTTCATTAAAAAAAAATAAAGTGGGATGTTATCTTTTCCTTTGTAGTTTGTCTTTAACTGGTGCTGTTTCCTTATCTGGGTATTGATTAATAGGTGTGTGATGAAAAAGGATGTGTTTGTCTTTTTCTTTTAGGTTTGGTTGCTTGCTTTATTATTTTTATTATTTATATTACAAAAGCAAAATAAATTAATATTAGGAAAGTTTTCATTTTTTAATTTCATTCATGAAAAAATTTAGATTTCAAGACAGCAGAACACAGAAACTCCTTTATTTGTTTTATTACTAAAGATATGACTATTTTAATTTCTTTAAACTTTCATTTTGTTTGACAGATTTCACGAATGGAATATGTTCATTCAAAGAAATTAATATACAGAGATGTAAAACCTGAAAACTTCTTAATAGGACGACCAGGGAACAAAACTCAACAAATTATTCATATTATAGATTTTGGTTTGGCAAAAGAGTATATAGATCCAGAAACAAAGAAGCACATACCATATCGAGAACACAAAAGCCTTACAGGAACTGCTAGATATATGAGTATAAATACACATTTAGGAAAAGGTATGTATATATGTACATGAACACAGCAGTTTCACTAGATTTTTGTAAGCAGCTTGTATATTAATAATGTTTTTATAAATTTATAGTCTATTTCGTTGAAACATATGTAGAAGAGTATGGATATAATTCTTTAATGTTATCGTTGCATGGCAAAATACTAATTTTTAATAAAGGTTTTTAATTGTCAAGTTCAGTTATATTGTTATTAATTAAAATTTAGCCCTAAGGTTGTACAGCTCCTCAGTTTTTTGTATAATGCAGCAGCATTTATTAGATTTAAATAGCCATCCACCTCACATATAACTGCTCTGGATGGCAAACACAATTGCAGGTAGTCCTTGATTTATGAACGTAGTGGAGCCTGTCCATTATGGTCATAAGTTGTGACAGTTGTAAATTACCGTATTTTTCAGAGTATAAGACACACTGGAGTATATGACGCACCAAGATTTTAAAGAAGCAAATTAAAAAAAAGTTTTTGCACTCTGCAGACCTCCCAAAAATCACCTGTTTTTTGTGAAAACGGGCCTGTTTTTTTTAAAAAAAGGCATGAATAGCCTTTAGGAGGCTTGTAGAGTGCTTCTGGAGGCAGGGGAGGGACAAAATTGAGTAAAAAAACTGCCTGTTCTTCATTCATTTCTGCTCTCCCCACTCCTCAGCAGCATTCTGGAGGTCTCCTAAAAGCTATGCACAGCCATTTTGGTGAAGGGAGCGGGATTTCGGGAGGCCAAAAATGCTGTATTTAATGTATAAGACACACCCAGATTTTCACCCTCTTTTCTCTACTCCGAAAAATACGGTAGGTCATCATGTGACCAATCTGATTGTATGATTTTGTTTGCAGCAGTCGTTACATGAATCATATTGGTCATTAACTAAATTCATAGTTGTTAAGTCAACATCACAGTTTTAAAGTGAACCTGTTGTTTGCTGTGGGATGTTTTTTGCCAAAATTGCTTTCGAGAAAAATGTAAATCGTGGTCATGTAACTGTAGGATGCTGCAAATGACTGTGAATATGGGCTGGTTTCTGAGTACCCAAAATGCGGTCACATGAGATGGTTTTGGCTGTTGGAACTTTGGACCTGGGTTGTAAGTACTTTTGGGGGAGTTTGTTGTAACTTTGAACAGTTGTTAAATGACTGGTCATAAATTGAGAACTACCTGTAAAATATCAGTAGAAAATAAAACCTGTTAGAAAATGAGAAAATAGGAAAAATCAATGAACAATAAATTAATTCAACTCAATGGTCCCAAACCTGAAAAATTGCACTTGTGTCGGTTTTTCTATATTTTCATAATGACAATTTATATAGATTTAAGGAAAGTTTTCTTTCTTTAGTTTATAGATTTCTGGGAAAACTTGTTAAAATGTTGGAGAAAACATTTTCTGGGGATCTCTGCCTCTGGAAATCTGTAATCAGCAGATGTAGAAGAAAAAAAGAGAAAGCTTAGAATCGCAGCATTCTAATTAGTTCAGCTATGAGTCTATAGTGTCAGTTAATGCTTTTACATTTTGTGGGATTTGTCAAGATTTACTTGATGGAGTTGTTAATTCCAAATTTGCTGTTTGTTTATAATGTTCAGAAAATATTACATTGCTTTATACAGTTATGCAGTTTATACATATTTTCCTTTGATTTTATACATCAGTTCAAAAATCTAGCCTTCATATTTTCAATTTACATTTTCAGAGCAAAGTAGAAGAGATGATTTGGAAGCTTTAGGTCATATGTTCATGTATTTTTTAAGAGGCAGCCTTCCCTGGCAAGGCTTAAAGGTAGTATGAATTCTTTTGATTTGCCTTGTTTCTTCTGATATTACCAAAGTTTCATATAATGTTTCTGAAGCAGTTAACTTGATGCTCTTTCAATTTAGGCAGATACACTGAAAGAACGGTATCAGAAAATTGGAGATACTAAGAGAGCAACTCCTATTGAAGTACTATGTGAAAACTTCCCAGGTAAAGAGTTCTGCTATTGAGTAGGCTGTGTGTGGCTATATTGCTTGTTACATAATATATTATAGTGCCAGATAGTGCAATTAATGATGCAATAATTAGACTCATAGAGTTGGAAAGGCCATTTAGGCCACCAAATAGCTTCCTGCACAGTTCGAGAATTGAAATTAAATCTGTCTAGACTTCCCTTGAACACTGCAAATGATGAGTAGCACATCCCTTCTCTGATTAATTAACTGCAGTGTGAAGCTGCTCATAAGGTTAGGAAGCTTTGTGTAACATTCAGCCAAAATCTAGGTTCCTGCCTGTAACAAAGATTCACCATTTCCTGTCTTAAGTTTGTAACAAGAGATATCAGGTTTTGACCTAGTTTTTGTATGACATACTTAATGTGTATTTTGACGAATGCTGACTATTCTAATATTTCTAGTATTCTGTCATCCTTATTGCTGTTTTCTGAACCCGTTTCACTGTCACTGAATTCTTAAAATTATATGTCTAGAACGGGACATAGTATTTCATATGGTATCATAACAAAGCAGAATAAAGTAGAATAATTACTTGCTATGAATTGTTTTGTTGATGTCGTTTAAATTTAAACTGTAAATGCACACTGCTGGCTATACAGTATTCAGTTTGCAAACATTCAAATACCTTTTTTTACAAGTGTCTTTACTAAGGCAAGTATCCTCCAGCCTATATATACAGTGCATTCAGAAAGTCTTCAGCCTATATATACAGTGCATTCAGAAAGTCTTCAGACCACCTTAATTTGTCATGCTTCAACCTACAGTTGTTGAAATTCATTTTTATCATTAATCTATATTTAGTGTCCCATAATGACAAAGTGAAAACTGAATTTTCACTTTAGAAATATCTGTAAATTTATTAAAAAGAAAAAAAATGAAATGTTACATTGGCCCAAGTATTCAGACCCTTTGCAACAACACATGAAATTCAGCTCTGGTGCCTCCCATTTCGCTTGATAGTTGCTGACATGTTTCTACACCTTGATTGGAGTTCACCTGTGGTAAATTGATTATTTGGAAAGGCACACACCACTTTATAGAAGGCATATAGATGACAATGCATACTGCAGCAGAGCAAAAGTCATGCGATCAAAGTAATTGCCTGCAGAGCTCATAGACAAGATTATTGCAAGGCACTGATCTGGGGAAGGCTACAATAAAATCTGCTGCACTGAAGGTTCCTAAAAGTACAGTGCCCTCCATAACTCTCAAATGGAAGAAGTTTGGCACAACGGAGACTTCCAAGAGGCGGTTGCCTGGTCAAACTGAGCAATTGAGGGAGAATGGCTTTAGTAAGAAGTGACCAAGAACCTGATGGTCATTCTGACTCTGCTCCAAAGATCCTGTCTGTAGTTGGGACAGAGTTCTAGAAGGACCACCATCACTGCAGCCGTCCCAGTTGGAGTTTGCAAAAAAGTACCTGAAGTACTCTCAAGACTTGAGGAACAAGATTCTCTGGTGTGATGAAATCAAGATTGAACTGTTTGGCCTCAGTTCTAAATGATATGTCTGGAGGAAACCAGGCACCTCTCATCACTTGCCCAATACCATCCTAACAGTGAAGCATGATGGTGGCAGCATCATGCTCGGGAGGGGAGTGTTTCAGCAGCAGGCACTAGGAGACTGGTCACGGTTGTGGGAAAGGTGAATGGAGCAAAATACAGGAATATCCTCAATGAAAACCTGTTCCACGGTGCTCAGGACCTCAGCCTGGGCCAAAGGTTCACTTTGAAACATGACAATGATCCTAAGCACACAGTCAAGACATCACAGAAGTGGATTAGATACAGGAGTAGCTTAAAATGCCCAAGAGTGACCCGCCAGAGCCTTGAATTGAACCTTATTGAACATCTCTGGACGGACCTGTAAATGGTTGTCTACCGACAGCCTCCATTCAACCTGACTAAGTTTGAAAGGATTTTCAAGGAAGAATGGCAGAAAATCTCCCAAACCAGATGTGCAAAGCTTGCCGTGTAATATCCCAAAAGACTGAAGGCTGCAATTGCATACTATCTGAATGTACTGTACATGCATTTATTATTTTTCCCTGAATGAAGAATTTTGCACTAATTCTACTGCTTTTAACCTGTTTCTCTAATATTATGCTCTTTAATCAGGGTGTATATCATACCTTCCACCCCCCGCATGATTATTTCTTGATTTTTGATAGGCACCATGAAAAAGAAGGAAGTAATGAATTTGTTCATCTGGTTGATTTTTTTTAAAAAAATGTTCAGTTTTCCTTGTTTATGTGTTTGTCAGAACGCTATTTCATTTGTATTTGGTATCCTGAGTTGTCTCCATCTACAACTCAGTAGAAGTATCAGTAATTTAAAAGCATGTGCAACTCATGTTACTTGAACATTTGAATTGATTATTTGAATCCTTGTATATTTGTTAATATGCCATGAGAAATACAAGAAGTTTTGAAACTATGCTTCCAAATATAAATGATTCTCATCATTACCTATCAAACTTTGCATATACACTTAGGCTTGTTATTGGAAGAGGCTTTAAAATAGCTCACCATTTCTGTAAACATTTTCAAATGAAGCGATGAAACTTTCTCAACTTTAATCATCTTCATGAAAAACATCCAAGCAAAAATGATAAAGACTTTGAATATTTCAGAAATGTTCATAGGTTATTTATTAAACATTAAACAATACTTGTTACATTAAAAAATGTTCTAAGAATGCCAAAAAGACTTTACTCATTTTACTGTATTTCAAAGTTTATTGCTAACATAGCATTGATAAATGCCATGTTTGCAGGAAGTTATTTCTATAATAATGCATCAAGAACCAACTGAACTATTGAGACTCTTACCAAATAGTAATATTGTGGTACAAAGAAGCATTGATAAAATGGGTAATGTTATTGAAAACAATAAAATTTTCCCTATGGTTGGATAAAGCTGTGGACAGCAAAGTTTTATTAATGGACTGTATACTATATTTTGAAGATAACTTTATATCCTATAAGAAGATATGCAGCTACAAAAAGTCTTATAGCTATAGCAAATCAATTTTGCTGCATTAAAAGCATACCTTGAAAATGCCAGTATTCCATTAAGTAACATTATTGCTGTGTGTAGTTGATAAGAGTTCTGCGGAAGGAAAATACTGCAGATTTATGGCATTTTTTAAAAAGCAACTCCAAACATTTTTTGTATTTGTATACTTCATAAGAATTGCTTTGCTGACCATTTTATGTCCAGACGTACACAATTCACTAAATATTGTGGTAAATGAAGTGAATAAGATTAAATTCAATTATGAAAGAATAAATTGTTTCAGCAACTTTGTTAAGATAACAACAGTTTGTTCACTTATTAAACATGGATATTTGGTAGATTTTTAAGACTGCTGTTTGATACAGCTGTGGACTTATTCAAGATTAGGTTTGCGTTTTATCATAAAGAAAAGAAAATGGATTTCTGCAATCAATATGAAAATATGAACAATATATTATTTACTTGCCTGGTGTCAGACCTGGAAGCAAGCCTCGGAATATTCTTTCATTGGGGGTGTTTCTTGTAACACTGACATTTGGTATATTTCAGAAATTTAATGAGATTAATTTGAAGCATCAAGATAAGCTTAAGGACTAAAAAAATGTTTCAACATATTTTATTGCTGTAAAAAATACATCACAATAAATACACAAACCATTGTTCTTGTTTGTCCAGATTAAATTTTGCCCTCAGGAATCACATTGGACAGTCTTTGCTTCCATTCAGGACTTGATGTCTGAGATTGTATTTTTTTCCAATTGCACAATATATTGTTTCCCAGTGTTGATATGGGCTGCCATGAGGTGACAACGCTCATGAGCAGCCATCTGGCAATGCTCCTTTTCAGTCGGGCAGAGCACCACTCACCGACCCAGTGATACCCCAAAGGCGCTAAGCCACGTCACACTCTGCCCAGCTAGAAAGAGAGGTTGCACGAGCACTTGTTCTGTCTTCAGCTCGCGTGCCTCCCAGTCTCACCATGCCCAGCTCTCCCTGCAGGGCAGGGCCAGGGTGCCACTGCCGCCACTGCCCTGCTGCCACCGCTACCATGCTCCGAGTATAACTGGCTTCCAAACTCTGGAGATCTGCTGCCAAGTCTTCCGGCAGCGGCCGCTCTGGGACTACGCTCTATGGTTGTGGGCTGGCTGCGAGAAGACTCTCTGTCTCACCAGAGTCTTCCAACAGCCAGGCCACAACCATAGAGCATAGTCCCAGAGTGGCTGCTGCCGGAAGACTCGGTAGCAGATCTCCAAAGTTTGGAAGCCGGTTATGCTCAGAGCATGGGGGTGGCAGCGGGGCAGCGGCGCTGCCGCCCTGGCCCAGCCCTGCAGGGAGAGCTGGTCATGGTGAGGCTGGGAGGCATCAACCTAGTGGTATCCCAAAGGCGTCAAGCAATGTGAGTGCCTTTGCCTCCCCTCCCCTGGCTCCTGCGGCTTTGTGCCTTCAGGATATTGCGAGGTTGGTGAGTGGCTCTCTGCCTGGCTGGAGGGTGTTGTCCAGGGGGCTTATTATTGGGGGAGGGCCAAAGGCGTCAAGCAATGTGAGTGCCTTTGCCTCCCCCCCCCCCCAGCTCCTGTGGCTTTGCACCTTTGGGATATCGCGAGGTTGGTGAGTGGCTCTCTGCCTGGCTGGAGGGGAGGTGTTGTCCAGGGGGCTTATTATTGGGGGAGGGCGTATATTTTTGCCCACAGGAAAAATATGGCATGATCTTATTATCAGGACATGTCGTAATTTCATGGAAGCACGGTATTATAAATTGTATGGGTTTGTTAGATAACATTAATGATGGCCTTCCCTTTATTGAGTGTGTTCAAGTGGATACTGGACAGCCAATTGTCAGAGGTGCCTTAATTTGGGTTCATGTACTAAGCAAGATATTGAAGTAGTTTTCATGATTTTCTTTTATTAGGTCTGTACAAATAATTTGATGCATTACAATCTGAATGATGCATATAATTGGTAAAATATGCTTGCTTAATCATTCCATTGCTATATTTTGATATACTAATGGCATTAGGAAAAAATGTTACCTATAGCCAAAATATCATTGAAAATACAATCAATATCATAGCTTGAATTTCAAGCTGTCAAGATTAGACATTTGATTTGGTTATCCAAATTTTATCTTTTTTCAGGCTGGAAAATGGAAAGAAAATAATCCATTGATACAGTCATAAAAGACAAATTTGGGAAACTCTCAAACTCTTAAGACATGTTCTTCTACTTAATTTAAAGAATAAAATTTAAAAAATAAAATGAAAGCCAGTAACAATTTATTATCTTGGGCATTATACCATTATATGCATCATTTGTTGGGACTAAGTCTTTAAGTTACAATGCACAGAAGCAATTACTAATTGTTCCCAATAACTGTGAGACAACACACACTTCTAAATTTATCTGCTGATTCTTTTTGATAAAAATATATTTTAAACATTTTGTCTGAATATTCTCATTTGCATTTCAGAGATTTTTTTCATAAACTGAAAAGTTTTTAAACTTGTGTATCTTTAAACACCACTGAGATTTCCTTATTTAATAAAGATGTTAAATATCATGTGAATACATATCTTTCAGCATATTGCAACAGCAATATCGCTGGCTATAAATTTTAGAATAGTGACAACATGCTATGATACAAATGATGTCATTCAAGCTCTCAAAGTTTCATCTACTGATATCCCTCCCCCAAAAGCAGTATTAATTTCACTGATTGTTACCCATTAATTTTGAAATTGAACTGGCTGCAACATGGTTTTATAATAATATTTAATAAATGATATATTTATTTATTTATAGTGGCTTTTCATCCCCCGCCCCTTCAGTGGAATAAAAGGTTGGAAAAATAGGTTGCATGAGTATTTTTTTTTCTATACTCCCTTCTCCCTCCAGATCTTCTAATCACAAATTTGTTAGAAAGACACATACAATTTGAATAAATATAATTGACAAGATTGGCAGTACGTATATTAAATGATAATTTATAAAGATATTTTCTCCTACGCGAAGAAGCTGAGGCTTATAGTAATTGATACTAAGTTTTCTAGCAGTTAGTATTACCAATGTTTTCTTTATTCCTGTAGAAGAAATGGCTACCTACCTTCGTTATGTGAGAAGGCTAGATTTCTTTGAAAAACCAGATTACGACTACTTAAGAAAGCTCTTTGCAGACTTATTTGATCGGAAGGGTTATATGTTTGATTATGAATATGACTGGATTGGTAAACAACTGGTAAGTATGTGATCACCATTTGCAATTTTCCCAGTTACCTTCTGACAAGTAACGTCAATGAGGGAAGCCAGATTCATGTAATAGCCATGTGATTTACTTGGCTACTGCAGTGATTCTCTTTTTGTGTGTGTGTGTGTGTG